CATGAATATAAGATGTATTTATATTTATGTTTTGTTAGCAGATCCGGTATAGGTGGGGAGGGATGGGAGGGTTTTTAGGGGCGTGTTTTTCTGTTAGTTTGTTTTTTTGTTTGTGTTTTTGTTAAAAAATAATAGAAAAAACTTTGAAGAAAAAAAGAATGCAGTTTGGCAACATGTTGCTAAAAAAAGCAAAGACTTCCTCATATGAGTGACATCATGTTGCTTCAAACCTGTATACGTTGTTCAGCGTTAGTCATGCTTTCACATTCAAACAAAAGAAAACCACGGTGTTGTCTTTCGATACAACAACAACAGCTTTGCTTTGCTTTGTTGGAAAACAGCACTGATTTCCGCTTCACTTGATTTAAAYAAGATTCAGATCAAAYAGTTCAATGACATGTTGCTGTCAGAACACATCCTTTCCRTGAGCGTACCGCAGAGTCTCTGGATTTTGTTCAGCAGTGCGTATCAGCCAGAAGTCTGCGGGCCATAGCTGGTATTTCAAGCGTACGTCCATCTAGTTCTTCACAAGACTTATCTAAAAGACACACACTGTCACTACTGTTGCCTTTTGTTATCCCCCACCTTTTGTCTTTTGGTGGTGGGTGATGATAAAACTACCATTGTCCCGATGCACCTCAGTAAACCAGGTAGAAAAAATCAAAAAAGAAAAAAAAAGTAGGTCCTCTGGAAGGGTTCTTCTTTAGTGAAACGTTTCAACTCTCCTCCAAGAGACTTCTTCAGTCTGAGGAGTTTCAGGTGAACTCAGCCTTATAAGCACTGCCTCCACATGGACAAACAGGTTAGTCACATGCAAAAGAGGGCTATCGCTTAACAATAGGCTTGATTGGCTCTATTGTTCAAAGAGGGTCATGTGCCTCATCACCTGACTATTGTTGGGGCCCTGATTCACACCTTTTGCTCACAGGGGCCTGAGTCATACTTGCAATAACAGTGTTGTAGGAGGAGGACAACTGGACACGAAGGCCTCCACCTCTGTTTAATGGTGGAYGGTTTTTCTTCACAAAGATGGCTTCCTTTACTCCTCTCTCAAAGTAACCTTCCTCTCTATCAAGGATGAGAACATCTTCATCTCTGAAAGAGTGACCGCTGGCCTGTAGATGAGTGTAAACTGTAGAGTCCTGACCCGACGAAGTAGCTCGTCTGTGCTGGTTCATTCTTTTGAACTGTGGCTGTTTTATTTCACCAATGTATGACTGATCACAGTCCTCCTGGCACTTAACAGCATATACTATATTACTCTGTTTTTGCCGGGGAACTGGATCTTTGGGGTGAACTAATCTTTGTTGTAACGTGTTTTGGGGTTTGAAAGCCATTGGGACGTCATGTTTAGAGAATAAACGTCTCAGTTTCTCTGAAACTCCCGCCACATATGGAATGATAACTGGTTTGGGTCTGAGTTTAGGTTTCACCTGAAACTCATCAGATTGAAGAAGTCTCTTGGTGGAGAAATGAAATGGTTCACTAAAGAAGAACCCATCCAGAGGTCCTACTTATTTTTTTCTTTTTGAAAACTACCATTCATCATATGAATGAACATCGTCCACTACCCTGCTTGAACAAAGGTCTTGTGTGATCTTTTTAGCACTCACAGTATGAGTTGGAGATGACTTTCAGCTACTACACTTAATTTTAGCACAATATCTGTAAAACTGACTGAGGTATCTTTTGGTCTACTAAGGTCGATCGTCTGTGACATCCACCTTCAGTCATGTTGATTTCATTATCTGATACATCCCACGTAGCAGATTTTGTGTGGCCCAGTTCTGGCCCACACAATGCCCTAATACCACCATCTCCCATGGGGACAAATCAAGTAAAGTAARTAACACCAGGTCCAGAAAATGCAAAGAATGGCAACCCTTCAGTGGCCCTGATATGGTTTGCCAAAGGTGGTCCATGCATGGACCAACACCACATAAACCAAACCACAACTGGGTTAGTTTAAGTAGTRAAAACAGTGCCATTATTGCCAGACSTGGYCCAGCAGTGTCTGCTATGTTGGATCCAAGGATTTCTTTCTGAGAATTTCAATAAATCCAATCCAGTGGTTTATATATTTTACTAAGAAGATAAATTACAAGATTGCCCACCTTTCACGGTTGTGGGCAATTATTCTTGAAAAAACCTCTGAGTATTTTGAGTTATACCATTTTCATTGGGATTTTAATAAAAAAATAGGATTTGCAACACCAAATTATTTCAAAGTTTATACCAATATAAATAAAAAAAACAAGGATTTTGTTAGGAATAAATCTCACCATCATCAGTTATGTAACCTCTGATCCTGTTTGACCTCGTCAGAGAGCGCTTGCTGGGCGATGGGAGGTCGCAGCGCTCCAACAGTGTGACCAGTCAGAGCTTCCAGGCCAAACTGACGTTGCAGATCACCAAAGACCCAGTCCTGGACCGCAGCACCGGACATGGGTTCACCCTCATTGCAGACACGCCCCTGCAGGTCAGGGACGTCGCCACAGGTACGCTCGTTTTGTGGCACCTTTGGATTGTTTGTGACGTGTTTATCTGGATGAAAACACACTTTTTTTCCTTATCTTCACTCCAAAACGACCACCTGCTTTGTTCAACTGTCCCCTGCCTGCAGCGAGTCAGATTTATGCTCACACACATTATTTTTTCCCCCTGGCATTCACTCTGCAGGGCATCGTGCCAGAGAGGGCCACAGAAACAGCAGAGCCACCTGCTCGTCTTGTTTAAATTCAATCACTTWGGCGTGCAGGAGTGAGTTATTAGTTTCACTTCAAAATCCCTGAGGAGGGTCCCACCCTGCCGTCCTCTCTGCTTCCTGCTGCCAAAAGAAGGGAGGCGATAACAGGGACACAATCTAACAGATTTATCACCTGGACGATCTGGTGATAGTGAAAGTGCGCAGGGCACGGAGGCAAAAATGTGGGAGGAGCCAGTAAAGGGAGGCGAAGATTAGGAGAAAGCAAAAGATGAGGAGGAAAGAAAAAAAAGAGGAGGAAGTGGCAAATGTAAAAACGATCGGGACACTGACAGAGCTGCTGTCAGAGCGTGTGTGTGAAAGATTGCAGTGTGGCACAGCATACCATCAGTGGGGGGGTGTGCGAAAATAGGCACGCATGGGGGTGTATGTGATGACGCGCACATACAGAGAAGAGCTGAAGCTGCTGCGCCTCAGTCGGCTTCTCTCTCTCTCTTTCTCTCTGTGATTCTCTCTGGCCTGAAGACAAACGAGTATAAATAACCAGAGAAGGCAGAGCCGAGCTGGAAGAGACCCAGAATAACTGTAACCCCTCGCATCCTGGAGAGCTCAGCTGAACACTGTTGAGTCAGCCATGTTCACTGAGTGTGTGTCATTCTGTGTGTGTGCTACGTACAAATGCCGACAGTTGTTTTTCTTTTATTTGTAGGGAGCCCTGCAGATGGGATCTTATTCCCAGGAGACCAGGTTCTGCAGATAAATGATAAAGTGATGGAGGATCTTAGTGCAGAGCAGGTGGAAAACATCATGAGGTGAGGTTTTTTTTATCTAAGGGACGAATCTTCTCATTTCCTGGAATGATACATACAGTCTTGTTCATTCACAGTCTAAGTATGTTGTCCGAGTCCCTCTCCGGGTTCTTATCCAGATCTCTGTGCTGATTGGTGTGAAAGGCTTCATAAATGATGTGCAAAAGTCTTGAGTCACCTCTTGTTCCAGGATTTTTATACACAATTAAAGTGCCCTTAATCCATATTTCTTCAGGCATTTTAAAGGTTTCAGGTTTTTCCACTTGACCATTTTCAGAAAAAAAAAACATTTATGTTTTGTTTGTTTTGCTTTTTAGGCCTTTTAACTAACTTATCAATCAGCACAGACGTTAAAAGACTCAAGGGATAAACCAGTTTTGTCCACACCTAACAGACAATTTAACACAGAACCAGTTTTAAATGGGGTCTTTAGGCACTCTGTGACTAGCAACCTGTCACAAAAATGACTTTTTTCATTTTTTAGATAAAACTATTAAAAACACATACATTAACAGCGTTTGACAGATAAAAAACGTTATTTTTTTTAGCAGAAAACCTGGCATACCACAGTGGATAAGCAACTAAAGGTTGATGAAACTCCCATGTCGTGTTTTGGTTTTTGCAGATCTCTCAGATAAGGTTCACTGGCTGCAGGTTGTCTATTAGACCTGACACTTACCGTACTCCTTTGGTCTCTATTTTTCCCACTTTTCTCAGTTTTTAAATACATGGCTCAATATGTTGGACAGAAAAATTAGCAAAAAACTGTGAAGTTAGTAACAACTTTGAAAAATGTTCACATAGCCTGAGAAACTTTTGACAAAACCACTTGTATAAACTACAGTAAGTCTAGGTCTATGAAAATAAAATATAAAGAAATTAAAGGCTCAGCATTTGCACACCATCCACTGTACTGTTATGAGAAATGATAGAGTTAAAACTGTTTGGTCAAACTTTGTAAGGGATTTTAATGCAATCGCATGTGATWTTGAAGAGATTTCACGAGATGTTAGTGGTCAAAATATGTGTTGAGGATGACTCTCGGCTACTCAATATTTTTAAAATCGAGTGAGTTACAGCTACTTTTGTGATTGCTAAGGTCAATCAGCTGTGGTAGCCATCTTGAATTGGGTTGACACCAACCATCAACCAGTTTTTGTGAGGTTTGTGTGCAGGCAGAATGACCCAGGGCGCAGGCAGGCTCAAAAAGGTAACAAAAAGCTTTAATAATAAACAAAAAGACTGGCAAGGCAGCTCAAAACTCACAAGATCTTCTCAGGGGGAACACAGAACACACCACTCTGGCTGAAGACAGCACAAAACAATGATCGGTCGCAGACTGAACACAGGACACAGAATAAAAAGCAAATTAATTAAGGACAACAAGAAACACCTGGAAGGAACACAAGAGGAAACAGGTGAGCCGGGGCGGGGCTGGAGCAGGGCAGAGACACACAGGGGAACACCGAAACACTAGAAAACTAAGGAAAATAAACACAGATTATGACAGTTGTAGACGTACAACAGCTGATTACTTTCTGAGAGTTTCCATAAAATCCATCAGCGGTTCATGAGATGCTTTGTTAAAAGTCAAACAAGGTTGACACCAATCCTTAACCCTAAAGTTTTCAGTATAGATGTTGCACAATGTGTAGYTATTAGACTGTTGTGAACTAGTCTAAGCTAATACCGCACCAAACTTTAACTCAAAATTTGTAGCTATTTTTGTGTTTACTCATGTGTCTTAGCTGTGGCAACCATCTTGAATTGGGTCAAAAATTAATTAGTCGTATAAGTACCTCAACTTGTTACTTTCTGAGAGTTTTAATAAAAGGCATCCAGTGGTTATAGCAATGACTGTGTTCATTTGTCTGCAGACAAATAAACTCAGCAGAAATGACAACGAGGGGGTGGTTTAAAACATTTGCACAGTACTGCAGATGCAAAGGTCAAAGCAGAGTGTGCCTATGTGATACTTAGACACAAATACAGAAAGATGTGTGTGGCTCTGTATTCATGCCTGTGATTTTCTCCACCAGAAACTTGGATGATTGTATCAATGTGACCATCCTGCGGCAGATGACGGTGAGTACAGATAAAGAAAGAAACCCACCGTCGCTCAGAGGCATCAGACCAACATTCATTGCTTATTTCTGATGACGTGACCGTCTGTTAGCATCTTCTGACWGTGTCAGGCCCCCTCTCCCCACGTTTCCAGACTAAATTATTTATGTCCCGGTGTAAGATTGTGCTTGTCTTGGTCATGTGTTGCAGAATCCAAAGTCGTCCATTATGTCGGCAGAGAAGAGAGCTCGCCTGAGGAGTAATCCAGTTAAAGTGCGCTTCGCTGAGGAGGTGGTGGTCAATGGGCACACTCAGGTAACATTTTGTCTGATACAGAAAGAGCTCTCAGTAATGCATTTGACGATAGACTTAGTTCTTGAGTTTTCTTGCGGTTTTGAAAAGTTTTTCTCGGGTGTTATCTTCTAAGCATTTAGACGACCACCTAGTTTATATTTTCTTTTGATTCTTTACTTTTCTTCAACAGGGAAACTCTCTTCTCTTCCTTCCCAACGTCCTAAAAGTCTATCTCGAAAACGGGCAGACCAAGGCCTTCAAATTTGACAACACCACTTCTGTAAAGGTATGTTTTGAGAGCTGGTGCACAGTGTTGATAGAGACCCAGTAATGGAAAGTCAAAAAAATCAGCAGCTGCTCGTTCACCAGTGATAAATCTTAAACAAGAGTTAGTCTTTRTATTACACCTCTCAGGCTCCTTTGAAGTCCGCCTCACTAAGAAGARTCTTTTCAGGACTAGTTTTAGATCAAATACAAGTAGATCTGGTTGTGAAAGGCTTCCCAGGAGGAAATGCCAACCACATTTTTTAAGTTTACACAACTGAGCTTGATTTAGTGCTGGCACTTAGAGTAACGTCTACATTAAGCCACATAACCTGCGGGTTCRGTTTTATTGTTGTTTTACTGGCTGCTTTATTAAGAGAGCATTAAGCATTGATACATCTTGATCAGTATCTTCCTGTTATTCTTCAGTTTCCATCACAACTTTTGATTAATAACTTCTCTCTCCACTTTAGGAAAACCTATTACAATACACCAAATCACGCACCTCCTTTGAGAACGTACGCCTTGCCATTTTCGATAGCTATAACGTACACTGGTGTGACTTCAATAAAATAAAATAAAGTTTTAAAAAGTGAACATTTTCCTTATAATTAACAATGAATTTTTGGCGTTCATCTCCATCTCAGGCATACTTCACAGTACAAACATCACATACATGACTGGATCGATCTCTTAATGTATTTTACAGCTTTTAAACTATTGAATTTTTTTCTTTGGAGACAAGTTGCCACATGTAGTTCAAGATTACACCGCAAAAATTAGCCATCTAAAATACGTTAAGAAATACTGGATTAAAGTCYGAATATAAGATTGTAAAACTTGGTTAGATGGACAATTTTTGCAGTGTTTTTTCAGTACTATGTAGAGTTTTAGCACAGTAWCTATTTGTAYRAGGCTCAGCTTCTACTGTGTTTCTRCCTGCCTTTCATTAAGTGTGWGGTTACCATGATGATCCTAATGAGCCATTGCTTGCATCTTTGAACATTTCTTACCTTGTTCTTTTTTACACTTATATTTTGTCTTAGATTATTACGAAGGAAGTCCTAAATTACTATTGCGTTATTGATAGCTGTATCTAAAGTCTATTTATTTGGTGTTTTTCCAATTTCTATTTAAACTTTGTATTTTCTGCTTCAGGTAAACTGAGTTGGGAGGGGTCAAATTTGTCCATCTGGCAGCAGTACACTAGGATAAAGTGTGTTTGTTTAAGGGGTCTGACGTGCTGTTTTTTCATCATTCCAGGACATTGTTCTCACTCTGAAGGATAAACTTTCCATCCGGGCGATTGAGTACTTTACCCTGGTCCTAGAGCAACAGTACAGCATCACCAAACTCCTGCTCCTGCATGAAGACGAGCTCATACAGAAGGTAAGGAAAGCACACAAACTCACACACACACACACCTCTGGCTAAGATTTAAGGCTAAGTTTTCCWTTTGTCTCCACCAGGTGGTACAGAAAAAGGACTCGCATGATTACAGATGTCTGTTCAGGGTTTGTTTCGTTCCCAAAGACCCCATGGATCTGCTGCAGGATGACCCCACGGCCTTTGAGTACCTCTTTTTACAGGTCAGAGAAGCTCATCAGCTGCGTAAACTTTTGCATCATGGATMACAGACATAGCAACTGAATCAGAATTGTATGGGGTACTAAGTGTTAAATAAAAATGTTTAAAACATGTCAATAAAACATTTACATTATTCGGCTCACTTTTTGAGTGTAAAATTCGAGTTAAAACATTTCCATTTCCATTTTATTGTTATTTAGCTCACTGTTGTTACATTTGGCTAATTTTCACTAAATTTTAAATGTAAATGATAAATAATGTAGAGTTTGCATGTTCTCTCCGTGCATGCGTGGGTTCCCTCCGGGTACTCCGGCTTCCTCCCACAGACCAAAAACATGACTGTTAGGTTAATTAATAACTCTAAATTGTCCCTAGGTGTGAGTGAGAGAGTGAATAGTTGTTTGTCTCGTTTGTCTCTATGTGTGGCCCTGTGATGGACTTGCGACCTGTCCAGGGTGTACCCCGCCCCTCGCACTGTGACTACTGGATATGGGCACCAGTGACCCACGCGACCCTGAAAAGGAAGAAGTGTGTACAGAAAATGGATGGATGGATGGATAAATAATGTCTGTAAATATTAAATGTAAAAATTAAGTCTTAAATTTTGTAGTTAAATCTTGAAGTTTATATGTTGGACGCAGCCTTTGCTGTTGGCGCTCCGCTCTTGTTATGATGGCATCATCTTGAGACTATAGCAACTGCTAACACTGCTGATGCTGCTGCAGATGGCATTTAAATTTTAAATTCAAAATGCGTTACTTGAAAACAATATGGATGGTACCCGTCTGGTACTGGAAGGTACAAACTGATGGTACCGGCAGTTTGAAGACTGCATCTGCAAGTTTGATGTCTTATAGGAAAGCTTTAGTTATGTTAGCTTTGTTAGCAGTGTTAGCTTTGTTAGCAGTGTTAGCTTTGTTAGCAGTGTTCATGTTAGCAGCTGCTTTTAACATTTAAATTTAACTTAGTAAAAATTAGCAAAATATAAGAACAGTGAGCTGAATACCAGTAAAATTTAAGTGGATTTTTTACACTCCGTGAGCTAAATAAGGAAAACGTGTTGGTGACATTTTTTATTTACACTTGGCGCCCCATGGATCTCCTTTGTTCTATCTGATAATTTCAACTGAATCCTAATCTGATGTCCTGTTTTACTGTAAATTTATATAATCTCATTTAAACTCTACGCTCCCATAAATCACAATTGAAATAACATTCCTGCTTAAAACCCAGTTGATGCTTTGACGCTGCTCAGCTTTGAACAACAAATACATACCAAGTCATTCTCTGTCAGCTGAAGCTCCACTTATGTYGTGCTGATTTATTGCTTTCAAAGCAGCCTTCGTAATCCTGCTGTGTTTGTTGTGGTTTTTTTTCTTCCCTTGGCAGTCTGGGGATCCCCGTTTTGGTTTATTTAAAGAAACTCCTATGTTGTATAAATTTGAGTAAAAGAATGTGGTACATTTCAGTCGACTGTGTGTGTGTGTGTGTGTGGGTGGGGCTGTTGGCTTTGGTGACATTTGGGGGCAATTTTAAGACAAAAATCCTACATTTGGGGACAATTGGTGCATTTGGGGACAAAAGTGGAGTCCCCGTTTGGTTTAAATGTCATTGGTGGGTTGGGGGTTGGGTTTAGGACCAAGGT